TGCGTTTTGTATGCTGAGTTCACTCTTCTGCCATGAAGATTGAGGGCAGGGAGGCCATTCAGGGTGTGGGGGTGTCTATCAAAGTCTAGAGAGCTTGAATTCAGGTCTAGGCTGGAATGGAGGTAGAGGGAACAGGAGTCATGCTCAAGTGACATTTGGGATCTTAGAAGCAGTAAAGGGTAAGAAGGCTGAGGATAGAGCGAACTTGAGCCCGGAGACTGGAAAGAGGGAGATATTTTTCTTTCTTTCTTTTTTTTAGGCAGAGTCTTGCTCTGTTGCCCAGGCTGGAGTGCAGTGGCGTGCTCTTGGCTTACTGCAACCTCTGCCTCCCAGGTTCAAGTGATTCTCCTGCCTCAGCCTCCTGAGTAGCTGGGACTATAGTCATGTGCCGTTATGCCCAGCTAATTTAGTATTTTTAGTAAAGATGTGGTTTCACCATGTTGGTCAGGCTGGTCTTGAACTCCTGACCTCAGGTGATCCGCCCACCTTGGCCTCCCAGAGTGCTGGGATTACAGGACTGAGCCACTGTGCCTGGCTAAATTTTTTCTTTTTTTTTTTTTAGTAGAGACGGGGTTTCACCATATTGGCCAGGATGGTCGCAAACTCTCAACTTCGTGATCCGCCCGCCTCGGCCTCCTAAAGTGCTGGGATTACAGGTGTGAGCCACCATGCCCAGAGGGAGATATTCTTAACAAGAGTTTTTTAGGGAGTGACCAGGGAGGAGGAGTTTTTGGTGGTGAGGCTTCTTTGGGAAACAGCGCACCTCTGTCCCTGGAGGTGCTGTCCTGGATGACGGTGGTGACAGTAGCTAACTCTGGTCAGGAAAGATGTCCTGGTGCCAACACAGCTCCAAGAGCCTGGGTCTCTGAGCCCAGGGCCAGCACCAGGGGGTGAGCGTGACTTTTGGCTCTCCCCACTCAGAACTTCAGACCTGACCCCTCCCTTGAGAAGGGTCTGAGATTGGCCACCTCCTGGCCATAAGCCAGCTCACGACCCTGCCGCTGTAACTGCCCAGACACTTCCACCCCAATCCAGGAAGTGAACCCGGGCAGCCTGACTCCCAGTACCACCAGTGAGGCCTCAGGCCGGAGAGGAGTGGGAAGGAAGGTCAGGAGCTGTACCTCCGGCGGCCCCTCCCCATGCCTGCCTGAAGCTCCTGTGGCTATGGGGGTCCGTGGGAGGCGCTTTAGATGATGCTGAGAACCACAGGAATGACGAGTCTAGGAAGCTGAGCTGGAGAAGAAAGCAGGTGAGAGCCGGATAGGGCTCTGCTTCACTGCTCCTGGCAGTGAAGACTCCTCCTTTGGGGGCCTCCTGCTTCCCGTACCTGGCTCAGGTGCCCGGGGAGACCCTGGTGTGTGCTGCACTGGCCCGGTAAGGAAGAGGGGCCCCCCTTCACTTCTCTGAGGTTTGCTTTTTTACAAGATTGATTTATTAACTATGATACAGATCACATAAGGCCTTTTCAGTTTTTTACACCATTCCCATTGAGACAAGTACAATACTTTGTAGCAAATACATGATTTTAAAAAACAAAACCAAACAAAAACACCTCAGTCAGAGATGCCTCAGCCTTCCTTGAGGGCTGATCATGCATTAATCAGGTTGGAGCCTCAAAAAACCCACCATGTGTTTAAAAAAAAAAAAGTCTGGAAATTAAGCAAACATTCCTAACACCAGCTAGATGGTCTGCTTAAAGTCCCTAAAATACAAAGAAACCATTGTTATACTTTGTTTACATACAGGTCTTCACTTTTGCTGCAAAACAGAAATTTGGGCACACAGCCAGACTACTAACACATTTCAATACCATTAATATGTTTTTGTTTTTCTCAGAAACTCAAAATATTTGTTAATTCAACATATATAAAGATCATTTAACATGTGAAAATACAAGTACCAGAAAAATAAGCTGGCAGCAGCACTATTCCAAATTTTCAAACAAGTTTTATTTCCATACAATTCTGACATTTCCTTTTTTTTTTCCTTAAATGTACACAGGGAACATGATTCTTTTTATGCAAACAATAACTTAGGCCCTGTCGTGACTACAGTGAAGGGTAGCATCGCTGCCGGCTCGGCGCGGGAGGCCTGGAGGCGGCCACCCAGGTCAGCGGTGCCCGAGGTGACCCACCATCTCCTGCTCTGTCCCCCCAAGCCCCCACATCGGCTGCGCTGCACCGACCGCACCGCGGCCGCGCGCCCCCACCGGACCCGCAACAGAAACTGCCCCCTTCCTGGGCCACTTTCTGACCTGGATACAGACGACGTGCTCCAAGGGAGGACGCCCATCCCCATTACACCTCAGAGCCACGGAGCCGGGGATGCTTCCCCCGCGCAGCTTCTCCGGATCCCTCGAGAAAGCAGCGACTCAACCGGACCCAGCCCCCTGCACAGCAGGCGCCCTCCTGGCCACCGCACCCTACATTTTGTAGCTGGCACCCCCAAAGCAGTGGCTTCTCACAGGAAAGGGTGGGAGGGGAGCACAGCTGAGGTGACTTGATGACAAGATGCTGCAACTGGCCTGCTGTCAAGTTGTGGGTGTGTCCAGAATGCCTGCTGGCCTGTGGGGGTCTTTACCAAGGGGATGCTGGTAAAGGCCCAGGCCTCCCTTCCCTAGGAGCAGCAGGAGCCGAGGCACAGGGATGCCCCCATCCCCTTCTGGGCAGCGGGCTGCTCCTATGATGTCACCCTCTGTCCACCATGACAAGGACAGACACTTTGTGCAGAAGAATCTGGGCCGAAGCAGTGCCCCGCCTCCAGCAGGAAGCAAAACCAAGGTGGTGGAAGCAGAAGAGTAAGGAGACAGACGCCCGAAGCTGTCTCCATCTACCTCCCCAAACACCAGGCGACGGGAAGGACGGGCACAATGCAAAGTAAATGTGTGCTGTGGCACCGTGTGTGACACAAGCCAAGAATTCTAAATGGATTCACGAGCCACGTCACCTAGCCTCAGGTCCTCCCTTTGCAGCCATCCGAGGTCACAGAGCCAGGATCAGTCTCTGGCTTCGCACCAAGGGCTGCTGTCCCCTCACACGCTGTTTGCCCTCTTGCTGAGCGGAGAGGCTGCCTTGCGTCCCCATTCTGGACAAGCCAGCGTCCACCCGCCCAGTGCTGACAGCGGCATGAGGGTCCCCTGAGCACCCTCTGTGTAAGCACTTTCCAGGGCTTAGAGCCCCAGTGAAGGTGGGGGTGGGTACAGCACAGTCCCAGCCAGCCCCAGGCACACTCCTCTGCGGCTCGCACCCAAGTGCCCATTTGGTCTGCACGCTGCCCTGACCGGATGCTGAGGCCCGGCCTGCTACGACTGGCCCCGCCACTGAAACAACCGAGGTGTCCTCTAGTCCCTCAGCCTGGAGCAGCAGATGAGGCTGAAGAGTCGGCAGGGGGATGAGGAACCTGGCTTCCTGTGCACAGGACGCCCTCTGGACAGGAGCAGCCAGTCCCTGCCCGCACCTTGGCTGACCAGGCGCCATGCTGGGGGTGCCCCAGGCCTGGCTTCAGGTACTTCTGTGAGGGGAGGGGTAGAAAGCCCAGGTGCTCCTTCTCACCGTCCCCTCCCCACCCTGGGAAAGTCACTGGCCACGGACACATCGGTGGAGTCGGGCCAGGTGGCTTGTGTGCTCACACAAAAGATGTTAGCAGTGTTAGCTCAAGCAGTAAGGGGGGCTGGGCCGCTTTTGCCTGTTCACATAGGGACGGCCCAGGCCACCACCTTGCTTTCCCTTCCACCCCCCAATTCTGTGAGGAGCTGACAGGTGAGCATCACCTCAAGAACGGTGGAGGGGTCAGTAAATGGAGCTGTTTCCTCATCTGCTCGGGGGCCAGGGCTGGGGGAGTTTGAGATAAGGTGTCTGTCAACCTCAGCTAAAATGAAACACAGATGTCACCATCCAGCCAACCCTGGGCCTACAGAGCCAGGCACAGCTCCGCCAGAAGAGACAAAAATCCATCATCCAACATTCACAGAAAACACGCCTGGACCCTGGGTTTGTTCTCCGATTTGTGTTCAAGAGGCGGTAAAATTTGCAAGGGTAGACAAGTGTTTCCAAGAAACTTTGCTGGCCATTGAGAGCTATAGACAGGAGCCGGCCACCCCCAGAGACAGCTCGGGAGCTGAAGGGCCATTCCCGTCTCGAGCCACTGCAGGCGGGGATAGGCAGGGCAGCTGCAGACGCGGGAGATATGCCTGTCAGGTCCCGGGAATATACCACAGATCCTGCTTCTTAAAGTGCAACGAGCCCCAAGGGCTGTCTGGTGTGGGGCCCTCTGTACCCCATTAGCCCTTGCCTGGGGTGACTCGAGTCAGGCTTCCTGGACACAGAGGCCATGGCCCAGCTATGCAAGTTTGCCGTGCTGGGGGACAGAGGTGGGCAGAAGACCTTTCCCTGGGGCAGTGGGAAGGCTGGGCCAGGATGGTGGTGGGTGACAGGCTGGCATGGCGCCTCTGGGCTGGCCAGGACCAGGAAGGATGCCCCTTCGAGGGGACCAGCAGACCGCCACTCCTTCAAGTGCCCCATCCCGCCATATCCCCATCCACACCCCTGCTGGTAGCCTCCATGTCTGGGATAGAATGATTCAACACCAAACACATCAACCCCAACCCAAGTGCACCTGGCACTTTCCAGCTGTCCCCACCTCCCCAGCAAGCACCCACACACACTCACACGCGCGCACACACACCCCACACACATGCTCAAGTAGTGTTTCAATCGCAATGCCTGTGTTCTGGGGCAGCCCAGGCTCCGGCCTGCTGTGCCATCTCCCCGGCTCTCCCCAGGAAGGGCTCAAACCCTCCTCCTGGGAAAAGGGGGGATCTGGTTCTTAGACCTCAGTGCATGAGTGGGACCCTAGCAGGCTCTCAGGCCACAGCTGCAGGCATCCTGGTTTCGCTGCCACAAAGACGAGGGCCACCTCCACCTGTGCACCTCCCTCTCGGCAGAGGCAGGTGCAGAGTGGAATCTTGAGGTCTGTAGTTTTCTTTCTGTGGTTTCCTTTTCCTTTTAGTTAGTGGAAGGGTTTTTCCATTTTTCCTCCGAGTGTTCCTTTGTTTGCGAGGGAATATATGGGGAAGCCTGTGGAGTGGGCCGGTGTGGAGCCCCACTCTCTGCGCTCAGGCACAAAGCTGTCCTCCACTGTTCTCATCTGCAGGGCCAGCGCCCTCAGCAGGTACCTAGTGGTGGCAGAGCCGTGGCCTACATGTTCCTAAGGAGGCCGCCAGCCAGGCTGCACCCCTACCTTGGGGGGGGTGTGCGCAGATACGGAAGGACCAATAGAAAGTGTTCTCTTCTCTTCGGGGGTTGCCAGCCCGCCCTGGGGCAGACCCGAATCTCGGAGCATCCTCCTCCCTGGCAAAGGCCAGGGCACTGTCCCGACCATGGGCTCTGTACAAGCAAGGGGAGGCGCCCTGAGGTCGGTGTGGGCAGCCAGGTGGGGTGGTGGTCCAGGAAACACAGGGAGGGCACTGGGGCCACTGCCTCCCTAGTTCAGTCCTCAAAGGGGTCCAAGTCAAAGGACAGGGCCCCATGGCTGCTGCCTGTAGCCCGCCCAGGTCTGCAGCGCCGGGCCCAGGGCACCTGCCAGCCTGGCCCGTGGTACCATTGGCTGGTACTCCCACAGAGGTCTTCAGAAGGTGATGGGAGGGCCACTGGCCCCTGCCCCTGCCCCCAGTGGACTTGGTTTTGTTCAAGGCCAAATGCCACCCCAACAGAGAGAGGACTGGTTCTCCTGAAGCCCCAGGCCTTGGTGGCTCACAGCGTGTGTTCGGCTTGAAGCTGGGAGGGAAGCAGTGGCTGCAGTGGAGACTGGGGGGTAGGTGGAGGTGACTGGGGGGGTGACGGCTGACTCGTGACAGGCGTGGAAGTGAGGAAGGGGACGGTGGAAGCCACGGCAGAGGGGGAGCTGGGCCTGGCGCCGGGGGGCTCAGTGATGGGCCGATTGTAGAAGAAGAAGGGGCACTGCTGGATGAAGAGCTCAATGATTGTCTGGTAGGTGCGCGTGGCTGTGAGGGCGTCCATGGTGCTGAAGTCAGGTCTCATCAAGGTGGGCCAGAAGCAGATGGAGAGGTTCTCGCTGGTCATGAGATTCACCTTGTTGTTGTGGCTGACCCTGCAGGTTACACCAAATTCAACAGTCAGAACTGAGCAGGCCCTGACTGGCTCCGGGCATTCATGGTCTTCAGCACCCAGGCCCAGCTCCGCCTGCACACCCTCAGCCAGAGGAGAAAAGGCCACGCATAGCTCTCTCTGCCCTGCCCTGCCCGGAAGGCTGCGCCCTCAGTGCCCTCTCCCCTCCAGCCCAGCACCGCCACATGGCCAGCCTCAGAGAGGCTGCCTGGAGTCCCGCAAGCCCCTGGGGGGGATGGACCCCCTCAGGGATTCACTCTGCAGCCAGCCAAGGCAGTGGCGGTGCTCCAGCTGTGCCGAGGGAGGGAGACTAGTACCCTAAGCCAGGGCGCCATCAGATGCCACTCGGCCAGCAGCCCTCCTCCAGGCACACGCAGCTCGGGGACAGCCACACAGCCTCCTGCCTGCAGTGTGCTCCCGGCCGGAGGCTGGCTCTCTCCTGCGGTACACCTTTTGAGGTGCAGGGTCCTGGCCCGCCCCAGCTGGGAACGTGAATGCTGAGAGAGGACTTTCGGGGGCTCTGAGGTGTTTTTGATTCAGGAGAAGATTTCTGGAGCAACAGCACCAAGCAGAGGATCTTCCGTCTCTGCCAGCTTTGGGACGCAGGCTGTACAGGAGGCCCCAGGGCCCTGCCGGAGCCAAGTACACTGTCTGGTGTTGGGCAGGTCTGGGGCCACGTGGAAGGAGGCCTGAGGATGGGCGAGCGGCAGAGGCTCTGGGCGCTGAGCCCAGAGGGCCCCACGGGAGGCCGGCCAGCACCCCGTCCAGTCCAGGGCCCGATGCTGCTACTGGCTTGAGGACAGAGCCTTGTTCTGTGACACATGGTCCCCTGGCTGTCCGTTTTCAGAAGGAAAAACCACCCAGAAGGCCCTGCGACTTACTTGTTTAGGTGAGAGATGACATACTTGAAGACTTCATGGTTTTCCTTTGGAAATTTCTTTAATACCTCCTTTAGGGCATGCAGCTTCTGCTCCCGGTCGTTGATTTCTGAGGAGACAGAAAACCAAAGCCTTTCATGGCCGAGGCTGGTGGCCACCCCAGGGTGTGCTCTGTGATGGGCCTTCTCTGAGGGCAGCCCAGGGCTTTCTGATGACACCAACCCCTCTCCTTCCCCAAAGCCTGTGCCCAAGGCTGGCACACCTGGCAGTGGCACTGGCCCAGGGGCCTGGCTCACCTCTGTGTCCCAGGCCCCCGCTGAAGGGCCGCACTGTGTGCCTGGGGCTTCCTGGCCCCCACCACCCGAGACAGAACGATCGGAGAGGCTCCGCCATAAAGAACACCATTCTTTGCTCATCCGGTTGCCCCTGGAGACAGGCATCCCTACGCAGAAAGTCTGCTTGCTTCCTGACCAGATGGAGCCGGGCGGCCGCTGCCATCCACCCACGCCAACAGACCTTCGAGGGAGGGAGCCCGTCATGAGACCAAGGCTCTGTCCTTTTCCTAGAGACACAGGGACCCTCCACACATCCCCCTGTTGGAGGGGCTCACGGAAACAGTGGGGGAATTCTTATGCACTTCATCAAAGGAACTAGGCACCCCTTTCCCCAGCACCCACACTTTGCCCACTGTGGAATCCTAATGTCCTGGGAGAGGGAAACAACGGCCTCGAATCAGCTCGAGAGCCGCGCCAGGCCCAGATCAGTGAGTCCCACGATTGTGTGAAGCAGGAACTCGTTACCCCATTTTGAGGATGTGGCAGCCGAGGTTAGAAGTTGCAGAGCTGGGCCTGGCTGCCGGGCCTGAGCCGTGGCCGGAGTGGGTGTGGCCCACCTTGGCTGGGAAGGGCACCTGGCGAGGCACAACAGTCCCAGAGCCCACCTGGGGCCCAGTTGGCTAAGACAGCTTTCTCTGTACACGGAAAGAGTCCCTGTGTTTCCTTCTTGGACTTTAGGGCTCAGAAGAACTACGGGAGGGTCTCACAAAGGAGATGGCAGCTATCTCACGACTGGCGGCCCTGGGAGCGGTGAAGAAAGGTCTGTTAAACCGCCAATGGTTGCTAACGGGTTTGGGGGCACAGGCTCCTTTCAGATGGATGGCGGGGCCACGATGAGACGCATGTGTACTATTCTGCCGATGAATCCAGAAGGGGTGTGGACTCCCCGAACCAGGTATTCTAAAGCTTGTGGCCTCCTAGTCACCTCTGCAGCAGGTGATGTGCCCAGAGGGTGAGTTGTGGGAGCTACACGAGGACCCTGGTGAGAGTGAGACCCGAAGGGCAGAGAGAACGCCAACGGCAGCAGGCTGAGCAGGGAGCAAGGTCCTGTGGTGGTCTGGAGTCTACATCCTGACTCGGGTGGCCCTGGGAGCAAATCTGCCCTCTCATACCAACCGTGTCACCTTGGGCAAGTGGCACCTAGGGTCAGTCTCCTTGTCTGTAGAAGGGGCTTTGGACAGTGCCTCCTTCATTCAGAGACACCCCGCAGTTAAATGAAGAGGTCACAGCTGGACACAAAATAGGGGTACCTGGGAGGCAGTCTGACTCGCAGGAGCCTGTGGGAGGGAGGCTGCAGGGCTGGCAGGGGCAGCGCTCCAGGAGCTCTCCCGGCAGCCGAATGAGGATGAATGAAACCAGGCAAATCTGCGGCCTTGAGCGTGACTTATGAGAGCAGTGTTTTGGTGACATCTGGCCATCAGAAATGACTGACAAAGTCCTGGGAGCTAGTTATTGGGCTACGAGCAGCTTCATTTCTATCAATCCAAGGTTTATTTTAAGGGTTCCACCTCAAGGGCACACTCTTTTTTTTTTTTTTTTCCTGTCGCCCAGGCTGGAGTGCAATGGCGTGATCTCGGCTGACTGCAGCCTCTGCCTCCTGGGTTCAAGCGATTCTCCTGCCCCAGCCTCCCAAGTAGCTGGGATTACAGGTGCATACCACCATGTCCAGCCAATTTTTGTATTTTTAGTAGAGATGGGGTTTCACCATGTTGGCCAGGATGGTCTCGAACTCCTGACCTCAGGTGGTCCGCCCGCCTCAGCGTCTCAAAGTGCTGGGATTACAGGCGTGAGCCACTGCACCCGGCTATGAGCACACTCTTTTCTATGACCTTGAGTCTTCAAACAGTTCATTGCCATGTTACAATAAACTGTTTACATAAACAAAGTAAGCTGCTGTAGGGAGGACCGGAGACTATTAGGAAGCGCAGGCGGCATGTGTGTGGCGCAGAGCGTCACTTCATAAAACCATCATGCCCCCTTCTAGCTGCTAGCTTGGCACAGGAGGACACAGGTCTCTCTGAAGGTCCCTGCACAACCAAAACACAGCTGTGTTTGTCTTAATTAGGCATCGAGTGGCAGCACCTTTACATAGGAGCCGGGTGTCACCCCATCCTCTGGCTGGAGGCAGGAAATGGGGCTGGCAAAGCCCAGGTCTGCCAGGGACATCCCTCCTTCCTATCTGACAAGCAGCAAGGAGGGTGGCTTTGTTTCTTCCTTAGGGCTGAGGAGAGGCAGCTGTAGGAATTACAGAGCCTGCTTTGATAATAATTTAGGGACAGGCCGAGCACAGTGGCACACGCCTGTAAACCCAGCACTTTGGGAGGCTGAGGTGGGCGGATCACTTGAGGTCAGGCGTTTGAGACCATCCTGGCCAACACGGGGAAACCCCGTCTCTATTAAAAATACAAAAATCAGCTGGGTGTGGTGGCACGCACCTGTAATCCCAGCTACTTGGGAGGCTGAGGCAGGAGAATCACTTGAATGCAGGAGGTGAAGGTTGCAGTGAGCTGAGATCACACCACTGCACCCTAGCCTGGGTGACAGAGCAACTCTGTCTCAAAATAAATAAATAAATAAATAAATAAATAAATAAAGAAATAAAAGAAAATTAGAGGCTGCCCCCTAAAATCCCAGCCTCCTCCTGCATGTGCACCTCACCGAGCGCCTGTTGAGGAGCCAGTGGCTGGTCTCCTGGCCTGCTCCGCTCCCCACTGGCTGCCTGGTCCAGGCATTCCTGCATACTGAGCAGCAGCCCCAGGAGCTCGCTGGGCAGAGGTGAAGGAGGGCGAGAGGCCCTTCCACTCAAGTCTGGCTCATACTAAAAGCAAGGCCAACCTTGTCAACATCCTTTTGACTCAGCTGTATTCACCTCTTTCCTTAAGCAAAGCCTGCCCTCACCCCACCAGTGCCTCTCTGCCAAGGGACCTTCTCCAGGCTCTGGCTGAAGCCTCTCCACATGGCAAAGGCACCAGCGGCTGCTTAGATTTGGGCACTGCCCGAGTGCTGGCGGGACAGCCTCATAGCGTTCGTCCCACAGCCCTGACCGCAGACCTGCATGGAAGGTGGGACTGGGTGTTGCCCATATGGTGGCTGAGAAACCCACTCCAGAGGCCAAGCGAAGGCCACAAGGCTGGTGATGGTGAAGGTGGATGGGACCCCGTCTCCCAGCTCAGCCCATCTGCTCTGGGTCCCCCGGTCCCCGCCTCCCCGCATGTGGTAAAGCCCTCTCTGACAGGAGAGGGGATGGGAGGCCCTCCAGGGTGCTGCCTTCACCAGCTAGGACACCATACTTTTTTTCTATACCCACCCTTCCCTGACCCAGGACTGGGGGGTACCAGCAAGCAGTTTGTGCCTGCGTGGCATTTTCAGTTGCCCTGGTTCGAACCAGGCACAGGTCCCTTCGACAGTCCTCAGCGAGGGAGGAGGTGACTGACCCAGAGGCAGGTGGGCCCGAAAGGGGCTGGGCTCAGCACATGGGACGGGTGAGGCTGTGTGGTGACAGCGCCCCATTCTTGCCTCATCAGACAATGCGAACTGTTTTATTCTTGGATTTGGGAGGACCCCTCGTCCTTGGGTCATTGGTTGGTTCACAGTGTGTGGGGAGGAGCAGATGTTTCCTGGGCCCACTCCTGCCCGGGCACCATTTCACACACTGGGGATGCAGTAGAGAACAAAACCAAATTCCCTGCTGATCACGGTCCAGTGGAATGAGGGGAAGGACCCAGCGGGGCCCTCCCTCGTCCAGGAGCTCCGGACCGGCTCCTCGAGGCCTTCCTGGCCCAGCCCCCATCTCCCCTCCTGACCACCATCCTGGTCCCCAGGAGTTCACGGCGTCTCTGGCCGACTGCTGCTTGCTGAGCTTGGTGCTGCTGCGGCTGTGCTGCTCCAGCCTGGGTGTGGTCAAGCAGGCTCCGGCGGCTCTGAGCCAGAAGCCTGGGGAACAGGTTGGTGGCCAAGGGCCAGCCCCCCCATGCTCCCTGGACATTTTCTGTTCTGTGGTGCTGCCGCAGGCCGGGTCAGTCTGTGTGGACCTGGGTCACAGGGCAGCAGCGCACTCAGGGGAGCCACTCACCACCTTCAGTGGAGCCCTGATCTACAGGGGCCTGCAGCTTCAACAGGGGGGCCGGCCCACCCCGGCCAGGTGTCTACACTGGCCAAAGAAACAGCAGGGGCAATGGGCTCCCTGGGTCCCTGCTGGGACGGGGCCTTCAGGGAACCCAGCCCTGGGTATGCTACTGCAACCCAGACCCACCATGGTACAGGTGCCCAGGGTGGCCCCTCCCCATGCCTGGTGTGCACTGGTTTGTGGACTCCCAGGTCCACTCCTCCAGACTTTTGGTGTTACCTCCATCCCCTTCAGAGTCCCCACCGGACCCAGACTCTGGAGGGCTGGTCCTCACATCCTTTGCTCCCTCAGCCTGCCCTTCGGGAGTAACAAGAGCAAACCATGTTGCTCCAGTATGAGGTCAGGGGTAGACAGGAGTCCAGGGGTGCGGGCTGGGGGAGACGGCAGCCTATGGAGGAGACGCAGGCTCCACAGTGCACTTGCCCCTCTGCTTGGCTCAGCTCCCGGTGGCTCTGCCCTTGCTTAGGGGGTGTGGGCTGGGAGCAGCACCCGCTGCTTAGGGCCCCAGCAGCACCTCTTCCTGGGACATCATACTTTTGAACTTAGGGGCCAGTCGACTGAGAGCAAGAAACGTCCAGGCGAGGTATTTTTGGGCCAGTTGAACCAAGACAGCCTGGACGCAGACCCAGCAATTTAGTACAACTGAGGCCCCAAGAACTCAGGAGGGAGGGGAGGGGACACCCAGAGGCACAGGGCCCTTACCGAGCAGCTTCCCATCTCTTACGGCATAGACACTAGGCCTCACACAGCTGGACACTGATTCAAGGTCACACAAATTGGCGGCAGGGACCCCGTTCCCAAACAACACTGCCCTGGCTGTGCCATGCCACTTGCCATCACTGGCACCCAGGCTGCCAACCAAGCTCTAGGCCCGGGTCTGCTGCTGCCAGCTTAGTGCCTGGAGGAAAGTCCCTGCTGGCCGCTGCTGACCACCTGCACGCCTGCATCACCAGGAAAGGGAAAGCCTGGCTCAAGGTCACAGCCCTGCCGTCATCATGCAGGCTCCTCCGGCCTCTGCTCTCCCCGCCCCTGGGGCTCTCCCCGCCCCAGGTGGTAAACAACTCCAAGGCCAAGACCTCACTCTGTGGGGCCCAGAATGGAGAATCCAGGCTGTCCTTCCCTGGAGACGTGGCTTTGCCTGTCAGCAGGACCTGTTGAGTGTCCTGTCCCATCAAGCTGAGCTGGGGACCGCATACGTGTGTCCACTGCCATCTGTCCCTGTGCACACGGGGCCTGGCTCTCTGAAATTCATGACCCTGTGTGGGTGTGAAGAACACCCCGTGCCCTTGGGCAGCTATCTGGACAGATGAAAGGAAGGCAGGATCCCCGACTCAGCAACGTCCCAAGGCAGCTCGTGCACAAGAGCTCAGAAAGCGGCAGGGCCGTCCCCTGGTGGCCTTGGCTGTACTGATTATCTCAAGCCTAAACCGCCTCATCTGTCAAATGCAAAGGGCGAGACCATGAGCCGGCATCCTGAACCACGCAGGGGTCACACATCCCCTTCGACAATCTCATGAAAATGGCCTCTCTCTAAATTAAGAAGACTGTTTTGTGAGCGGTTACAGGGAGTTAATGGGGACCCTGGAGCCACAGGTCCTTTGCCCATGACCCTCTGGTCTGAGATGGGGCCACCTCTAGCACCTGTTTCAGCACAGAAGCCACAGGGCAGGGCCTATGGACACTGGCTAGTTGGGGGAAACTCTGGACAGGCAGGGAGCGGGGAGTCGCCAGAGACAGGGGAGACACAGCAGGCCAGCAACTCCTGAAGGCGGGGCTGGGCTGCAGGGAGGAGACAACACAGGTAGTACAAGCCTTTTCCTCCGGCTCCTGAAACCCTGGCCCACCTCCCCTGTGACACCCTCTTCCTTGTGCCTTCCTTGCTGGGGTTTGCGGCTTCAAGCTCAGCTTGCTTTGCCCTGTCTGCACAGAGCTTCAGCTTGCACCCATAGAGGGCAGGTACTCAAGCCCTGGCTTGCCGCTCCCTAGCGGTGTGACCCTGGGCAGGCTGTGTCACCTCTGAGAAGCTGCTTCTTTCTCTGTAAAACAGAGATGTATTATAATACCATCTCCCTCAAAGGAAGATCAGTGGTGGGAATCAAACGCCTTGTGGAGAGCCGGGCTGAGCCTAGGCAGGCACACAAGCCCTGGGCGCTATGCTGCTACTCCTGTTCATTTCTGAATCTCCCACGTGTCACCTTACACGTGGTAGGAAAATAACTGGCGAATAATCACAGACATCTCCATTTGGCAGCACATTTTCAGCAGTGTTCAATATTGTGAAATTCTGGAGCTAAGAAAACCATTTGATAGTGACCTTGATATTTGTTGTGATGAGATTTGAAACTGGTTCCAAGGCCTGAACACATATAGACACAATTGCTCTCAGGGATTAAGTAGAAAGAGCTGGTCAAGTTGATGTAGCCATGGAGACGCCAGCCAGTCTGGGAAGAGCTACTCTGGGGCACGATCATCTTTTTTCCATTATATCCCTTAACACCGCTAACTTTTGCACCGCCTGGTATCTGTGGCTCAGCTGAACACAGCCCTGCTTTTCGGTCAACTGCTCCGGCTGTGAGAGGTGCCGTGTCAGCACGAGCTTCTCTCCCACCCGCTTAGGTCAGGTTCAAGACAGCAGAGCCCCCGCGGAGTAGCATGGGGCACAGGAAGCACACAATGGGAAGAGGAAGTGGAAACCTCCATCCTTTCCCAGGCTGCGCAGTGACAGTGGCAAGAAGCCACCTCCTGAGCGGCGGAAGCTGCTGTGGGGGGGGCGGCTGATTCCCTATCAACAGCACCTCCCGCTTCTGCCTGCCCTCCAACCCTACACAAAAAGATGCTATGTCAGCAGTTCCCGAAGAAACAATGGGGTTCTGCTGGGTGCCAGGATTTCACGCACCTCTAGATGGCGCCAAGTCAAGACAAATGCAGACAGGAATCCCCGGCTTTCTGCAAACTGGGTACCAGTCCACACCTTCCTCTTTTCCTAACTCCCACTGTGAGATGAGCTTCGGTGGAAAGAAAGCTGGCTCCAGAATAGAGATTTCCCATGCAACTTCACATCTGTGTCTGCCTGGAGCCTGCTGGAGAAGTGACTGCTGGGAAAGCCTCTATCTTCAGATGGCATGATCAGAGGAGAAGCCTGCAACCGTCCCCACCTGCTAACTCCCCTGGAGAAACCCTGACGCCCGTCTTCAGAAGGCAGATGGGAAGGAGGACCAGGCTACTCTATGACTGTCCCAGGAATACCACACTCTCCTGCCCCATCCCTGTGGGCTTAGATAAGGTCAGGAGCTGTGAACAATTCCAGTCAGCTGAGAGTGGACAGAGTAAGGTGAAGGTGGCATCCACGTTGTGAAACAGACATCACAGGAAGTGCAGATCCCGGAAGGGTGATTTTGGAGGCCCCATAGCCTGTCAGTATCGAGGCTGTGGCCGTTCAGGGGTGGGCTTCCTCCACACCTGTTTCTCTCAGATGCTACGAGAGTCAGTGACCCAGGACTCAGGGCCATGCTGATCCGTCACCTCCCTCAAATTTCTGCCTACACTGTCAGCCTTGTGAATAAATTGTGCTTGTTTAAAGCTCCCTCTTTGGAGCTGAGCAGTAACAAGATGAGACTAAGGTCCGGCCCCCAAGGGACACCTCTCCTTACCTCTTCCCCACAGCCTGGCCGCTGGATCACGGGGTGGCTGTGGTCTCTGGGCAATTGGCAGACACACTCCCTTCTGCAGCTGCATGACAAGGGCTGCCTCTTGGCCTGCCAGAGGCACAGAGCAGGAGGGCTACTGGCCACTTATAAGGTAGTGAGGGCCACATGGTGGGACGCTCTGAGAGGTCAGGCCTCCTCTGTGGCACTACACAAAGTCCCGGGAAAGCCTGGCCAGTGAGAAGGCTTACCCACTGGATGGACAGATACCTCTAGAGAGCGGCAGGCCGGGGCAGCAACAGCTGATGAGGCAAGGTGGATACCATTAACACCAGAGGTGCTCATTTGCTATAGCATCCAGCGGTCTCCCGGCCAGGGCCACTGGACCTGTCTCTTACTCTCCAGAGCTGGCTTCCTAAGAGGCTGTATGACCTAGACCCACATTAGGCTCATTACATGACAGGTAGGAGAAGACAGGTAAGACTCAGGGAAAGGAAAGGAAGACCCACTATTACATAGGCTGTTCACAGCCTCGTTTCTAGGCCTTTCCTAATCGAATTTCATCTGCAGGAGTCGGGATGGTAACAAGGGCAGGACACTAAGGGGCAGGGAAGGTTCAGTTGGCCACAAGCAAAGGAGCCACGTCTGACTCCGAAACCATGCTCTTAACTAATGAGTATGTGGGAACCTGCAACTCCCTGGATGTAACCCCCAGATCAGCACCTACAGTCTACAAAGGCAGGAGCCCGATTTACAAGTCCCACTCGTGCCACTGGTTAATTCCCTTGCCTTCTGTCCTTCAAACCTCCGCTCTAAGAGCCAGCGTCCATGCCGAGGGCAGGGCCCGGTCTTCCTCAATCTGCCCCACGCTGGGCCGCCGGTACTCACTGTGTGCCTCCACCAAATCGATCTGCATGTTGTACGGGACCAGGGGGTCAGGCAGTTCTGAGAAAAAGCTCTTCATGGCGCCGGCCACGGTATTCACCGTAAAGTCTTTCTCTGCCAAGTCCAGGTTGTGGTCTGAAAGGAAGTCAGGAGAGTGAGGTCATACCACTCTAAGCCAAGCAGAAGCAACAGGACAAACTGGGGCCTGGGAGAGGCCAGAGAAACCTCAGGAACCCAGGGACGGCCTCAGGCCTGGCAGGGATTGGACAGGTGGCACCGTGGGAGTGCTAACGCGGGTTCCGAGGTTGAGACAGAGGCTGGCCCCAGTTTCTTTCCAAAACTGCTGAACCGCCCCTCCCCCACCCTCGGGGCCGCGGTGCTGCCCCCACACACTGGTTTTCGGTGCTAGGTGCTTGCCCTCATCTGGCTTCCGTGTGTTGTTGCCTCTTCCTCACTCCTCTCCCGTCACAGGAGGAGGAGGCAGCTTTTCTAAAGGGTGGCTCACTTTCAGGTAGGTCACAAAGATGTCAGCAACCACCATGACTGCCACCTCCATCCTTGTCCCCTATGGTGGGAGGGCAAATAGACTCATGTTTTTCTCTCTCTGGCCCTTCCCAGCCATCGGCACCACTGAGCCATCTCTCGCTTTCCTCCGTGCTGCATACATACTTTAGTGCATTCCTGATGACGAAGAACTCTCTACAGGTGGACAGCAGCAGGTTCCGTTGTCGGGGAGGTAAGCTGTTACAGGACCTTCCATATACACCAATGCACCCCACACGGAGGGCTCTACCCTCACTTTGGCCTCATGTCTCCTGTCCCACAGATTTTCGTGTGGTCCCCTCTGCCTGCTGCCGGCCAGCTGAGCCCGACTGCGATGCTGCAAGGTGCCAGGGCCGCCCACCTGGGGAGTGGGTGCGGTGCGTACCCTGGGTGATGCCTCCTGCCCTGGCCGCGGACCAATGGGAACGTGCCCTGCTCTGGTGTGTTTTGCTTCTAGCACTGGGGGACGTGGCTTCTTATCCCACAGTGTGATCAATTCCAAGAGGCAGAGTCTGGCTGCCTGACTTTAGGCCTCTTGATGCTGACCCAGCTTAGGATAAGGGAGTCCCAGCCAAGAGCTCTGTAACTTGGGTCTGCATCCCAAGGGCTCAGCTCCTCACACAACAGTCCCTCGCCTTCTCTGGCGTAGGGACTTTGTGAGGAGGGTATATTTGAGGCCCTGGCAAAACAGGATCACCTCTCAACCCGACTTGTACAGTATGTGCCTGCAACTAGCTCTGCATGGCCAGAGAGGCCAAACTCTTCAGGGTGGGGAGGGAGGCGCGTGCCCGGCAACCTGGAGGAGCATCTGTGAATTGTGGTGTGGGGAGTGGCCCACGTGACCCAGCCTTGGCAGGGATGGTGCTTCAGTTCACTGACAGGACCTGGTCCCCTCGCCTCCCCACTGGGGCCACACATGGTCTCTTTCTCAGTCTCAGCACCTCGTGGCTTTGGGTGTGTGCTGGCAGGAGTGCCCCAAGGTCCCACAGACAGTCCACCAAGACAGCTGTGTCTGCCTTGACTGGCTCTGGCCTCCGACGCCTGCCCAGGCTGTGCCTTACCTTGATCGAACTGTCTCTGCAGGCTCTCCATCTCCGACTTGTTCCCGCTGACCCTGTAGATGCCTTCTGTGCTCAGTCCTGAGGAGAAACAGGCAGGGTTTAGGAGCAGAACTGGAGAGCAGAGAACGTGGAGGACGGGGCTCGAAGACAGAAGGAGAAAGCCCCGGAAAGTGCGTGAGGCACCCGCCGCAGACAGGGCTGGGCCTCGGCACACTCTCGTTTGACTTTTCTGGATACTTCAACCCATTTGCCCTCCATTTTCTTTGTCACTTAAACATTTTAAAGTACTTGTTTTTTGTTTAAAGTATAGCAGCTAAAGATAACTTGTGTGCATTAGTTGTGCTGTTAATCATACAGGATTGGCTGGGTGCGGTGGCTCATGCCTGTAATCCCAGCACTTTGGGAAGCTGAGGCAGGAGGATCACTTGAGGTCAGGAGTTCGAGACCAGCCTTGCCATCATAGTGAAATCCAGTCTCTACTAAAAATACAAAATTAGCTAGATGTGGTGGTGCATGCCTGTAATCCCAGCTACTTGGGAGGCTGAGGCAGGAGAATCGCTTGAACCTGGGAGGCAGAGGTTGCAATAAGCTGAGATTGCCTCACTGCACTCTAGCCTAGGCGACGGTGAGGCTCCATTTCAAAAAAAAAAAAAAGCCAGGCGCGGTGGCTCAAGCCTGTAATCCCAGCATTTTGGGAGGCCGAGGCGGGTGGATCACAAGGTCAAGAGATCGAGACCATCCTGGTCAACATGGTGAAACCCTGGCTCTGCTAAAACTACAAAAAATTAGCTGGGCATGGTGGTGCGTCTCTGTAGTCCCAGCTACTCAGGAGGCTGAGGCAGGAGAATTGCCTGAACCCAGGAGGCGGAGGTTGCGGTGAGCCGAGATCGCGCCATTGCACTCCAGCCTGGGTAACAAAAGCGAAACTCCGTCTCAAAAAAAAAAAAATAAATAAAAATAAAACATACAGAGTTTTCCAAGTTTTTACTATTAGAAAATTAACTCACGGCCAGGAGCAGTGGCTGATGCCTTTGGGAGGCCAAGGTAGGTGGATCACCTGAGGTCGGGAGTTTAAGACCAGCCTGATGAATATGGAGAAACCCTGTCTTTACTAAAAATACAAAATTAGCCGGGCGTGGTGGTGCATGCCTGTAATCCCAGCTACTCAGGAGGCAAGAGACTCACTTGAGCCCAGCAGGCAGAGCTTGCAGTGAGCCAAGATCGCTCCATTGCACTCCAGCCTGGACAACAAGAGGGAAACTCCATCTCAAAAGAAAAAAAAAAAAAAAAAAAGATTAACTCACAACTATGTTTTTTTTAACAACCAGTAAAAGCTTAACAGATTATTGGAAATAGATGTTCCTTACTTTGTGAATATACTCTTCATGTTCTTGTTAATTTTCCTATTACAGTGGTTCTTATTTTTATACTTGTGAAAGTCTATGAATATTAGGTAATTATCTCAATGTTATATATGTTTACATTTTTCCTTTTTCTTATCTGTCTTCTAATTTTGTTTACTGAATCGGTTGAAGTCTATAATTAAAAAATTTTGGGCTTTCAAGACCAGTCATTTTCTTTATGCCTTCCTTTGTTTTTATGCTTAGAATAGGTGTTTCCTATTCGTATAGCAGCTATTCGGTTTTTCCTTCTTGTTCTTTTTATCAGTTAAAAAAATCATTTCATTCTGTGTTCATTCTGGAACTTATTTGGTATACAGTGTGATATAAGAAAAAAGTAGTAAAAGTTGACTAAGTAAGTTAGAATAAAATATCAAGTGAAAGATGGACTCCCACTCCCTCCCCATCCTCCCCTGGGCTGAGGAGCGCTGTTCAGCTTAGAGTGGATTCCAAGCTGTGCACTCATTCCACTTGCCCTGTCCCGGCAGAGGGGGTCCACTGTGTGCCATCAAGATCTAAAGGACTTCGTCTACAGGATGGTGAAGTCACTGTGAAAACGGACATGGGACCTCATGGCTAAAGCAACCCTGGGTCCCATCTGGACTGACTGTGAGAGACTCTGTCTTGCTGAAGGCGCAGAGAGGAAGCCACCACTGAACACCAGAACCAGTGTGGACAGTGGAGAGCACCGGGCCCTGGAGTCAGTCAGGCTCCCAAGAGCCACGTGTTGGTCATCACTGTCACTGCTGCCTCTGGAGAGGCAGCCATCAGGCAAGATAAAAGCAACTGGCCTGCTTGTTTTCTGGGGTCCCAGGCTTCTTCAGATTTCGATAACACTGGAGCAAGAGGCATCAATTCCCTGGCTTAAAGGCTGTTAACTGCACCAAGGCTTTTCCCCCCAGAGAAAAGGAGGTTAATGGACCAACGCCAGGGACATCCTACCATGCAACACCTAGTTACGAAGGAGCTGCCCCTGCTGCACTCGCCTGGGAGGAGTGCTGGCACTTTCCCAACCAGAGTGGTCACACTCTGCACACTGAGCTAGGTGCTTTGTGGCCATCCACCATTTGCTTGTTTATTTTTTTTGAGACAGAGTCTTGTTCTGTTGCCCAGGCCGGAGTACACTGGTGTGATCTTGGCTCACTGCAACCTCTGCCTACCGGGTTCAAGCAATTCTCCTGCCTCAGCCTCCCGAGCAGCTGGGACTACAGACGCACGCCACCAAACCCCAGCTAATTTTTTTGTATTTTTAGTAGAGACAGGGTTTTACCATATTGGCCAGGCTGGTCTCGAACTCCTGACCTCATGATCCACCCACTTTGGTTTCCCAAAGTGCTAGGATTACAGGCATGAGCCACCGTGCCCGGCCCACTTGTTCATTAAATGAATGATGATGCCATTTAATCTCCCACACCTCATGGGAGGAGGTGTTGGGTGCGTGGAGAATACAGATGAGAAAACTAGGGTTTGGAAAGAAGTCCTTGCCCCAGATCACAGCTGCTAAAGGCAGGGTGGTTTGAGTCCAGGGCCTCTGCCACCGTCCTGCCTCCTTACTGTTCTAGAAGACACCTGGCTCAGGCTTCTGCTGCGTCCTATTAATCCAACAGGCTGGGGTCCAGACCACAGTGCCCCCTGCTCCCGGAAGCAGTACTACACTTGGGTGAAGCCATCTGGCCTAAGCACCCGGGCAGCTTTTGAGACGGCACACCCCTACCTGCTGTGCTGTCGAGACCCGCTCACCAGCCCTAGTCAGTAATTCTTCCATGGACTCTTTTCTCGGCTACTCTCAGGACAATGTGGGCAAGCCTTGCGTATGTGTCAGCAGGCTCTAGTCTTCATCTCCTAATTTGAAAAACAAAACTAAACTAAATCTAAGTGATTTTTCCCCTTCCCTCAGTTATCAGCCCTCCATAATACAAAGTAAATGATAGGACAAATAGTACAAGTCTCAAGAGTCCGGAATAATGCAGCAATGTCGCCGTTCCCGAGTCCCATGGTAGAGAGGCCGTCTCTGACCTGCAGAAGACCCAGCCAGCCGAGGGCTGCGTATCACCTTCTGGCAACCCTGACCCTCAGTGGGACTGAGGACTGCTCTGCACTGCCTCCTAATGGCCACCAGCCCCGGCATCAGAGGCCAGGAGACAAACTCTAAATTAGTGATCTGGCAATTATCAGCGGTGCCGGTGCGGACCTGCTGAAACCTCACTAGATGGATCGTCACAAAAATGGAAGCACTGGAAACCATGAGGCCGAGCCAGAGCATCAATTAATCATCAACTTAGTACTTCCTGTCATCTGGGCACATGTTTATTTTACGCAATCCCATTTTAAAATAGCAACCCTGCTGCTGTCGTACACAATACCGTGGCGTAATTTAGGGGAGGTAGCATTTGCTTGGCTAGTGCAATTTATCATAGCTACTAATTAGACATCAATTTTAAAAAGATAAAAAAAAAAACTGAGAGCAGGCTGCAGACACCACCAAGGCTGCAGGGAGCTGGCAACCCAGGTGAGAAACAGTATGCTGGAGAGAGCGGGGCAGTTTGCCAAAGGCCTGAGACCGCAGCAGGAAAAACGCTGGGGTCCTGGGGCAGACCCCGGGCAAAGACACTAGATATTAAGGCGTCTGTATCTGGAACACCCCAGTGTTCCCGAACATGCAAACGCTCTAGGGGTGACTCTGGCCTACATCCTCCAGCAGCAGAAGGCAGAATTCTTACCAGCAGTGACTTCCACCAACCAAGTCTATCGCAGGCTCCCAAGTCCATCTGAGAAAGCCTTAACCTTAAACTCAAAGGCATCCTTACCTACCAGACATCTCCAAAGACCCACGTCACCAAAGCAGAGCCTTGGCTGTAGGCCTTTTCTCTTTTTCTCCTTCTTTTTTAAAAGGCCTCTCTACTGGCTGCAAATATCTTCGATTTTTTATATTTTTTATTTATGTTTTTGTCAGCATTTTCGCAAGCAAAATATCTTCTATGTTTAAGTTAATCTTTGGAAATAGAATAAGAAAAAGCTCAGAACACTGCCAGGTGCGGTGGCTCAAGCCTGTAATCCCAGCACTTTGGGAGGCCGAGGCGGGTGCATCACGAGGTCAAGAGATGGAGACCATCCTGGTCAACATGGTGAAACCCCGTCTCTACTAAAAATACAAAACATTAGCTGGGCATGGTGGCGTGTGCCTGTAATCCCAGCTACTTGGGATGCTGAGGCAGGAGAATTGCTTGAACCCGGGAAGTGGAGGTTGCAGTGAGCCGAGGTCGCGCCACTGCACTCCGGCCTGGCACCTGGTGACAGAGTGAGACTCTGTCTCAAAAAAAAGAAAAAAAGAAAAAAAAAAAAAAAAGCTCAGAACAGCCAAGATCACTATCTTCAAATATCTGAACACGGCCATGCAGAAAAGTCTTGTTCCAATGGCTCTAGGGGACAGAGCTACGACCAAGAATGGCAATTACAGAAGAGCAAATATTCTCTCTCTCTATAACCACTAACAGCCATAGCTGTCATTCATTGAGACAGACCAGAGTTTTCCAATCTCTTCTCACCAGACAACCATCTGATTGGGGTACTGTTTAAAAAGCTAGCTAATAACAATAATGGTAAGCCATTTATCGAATGCTTACTCTGCATGAGGCACACGATGCTAAGTGCTTACATGCCTTTTTATAGCAGTTCTCA